TCCGCGCCTCTGCACTGTCCTCGCCGCACTCCCGCGGGGACGCACTCACCATTATGCTGCGGCGGCGGCGTCCCAGAGCGGCTCGCATTTGCGCTCGCGCGCGCGCTGCCGTCTCGCTGCTGGTGTGAGGCACTGCTGTCCTGCGCGCCGTTCTGCTGCTCGCCATTTTGCGCAGCGCAGAGTGCGAAGCGGAGGCGTGCGATTCCGGGTGCATGTACAGGTGCCCCTGCTGCGGCGGGCGCAGAGGATGGCTGATAGGCTGGCTGACGGGGAGAGGCTGAGTCGGACAGTGCAGAGAAGGCGCGGGGGAGAGGAGGAGAAGGGAACGAGGGAGGGAAGGTGCGCATATGCATATCGAGCGCCTAGCAAACGCAATCTAAATCAATGCGCGATGCTTGCGCTCGCCCTGCGACTTCTGTATGTACCACCACGGGCACCGCGTCCGCGCTCGCCGAAGCCCTCGCCGAAGCCCACGCGGACGGAGGGGATACGGACGCACGGCGGGGATGCGCGACATGGGCTGAGGATGGGCGCTGCGCTCCGCGAAGAGCGCAACGCCCCCGCGGGGAGGTGCCGCGCATGGTCCGCATTCGCTCGTGGGGAGAGGAAAGGACGAGCGCGCGGTCTAACGCGGAAAACCGCAGGCGAACGAACGAACGAGGTCGTCTGGCACCATGAGAAGGAGAAAATGCCCGCACCTTTGCGCTCAACGCGAGCGGGCCGCGCTTGTGCGGGAGCTGCTCGGGGCGCGGGCGCGCGTGCGTGCGCTCGAAGAGCCCGTAATCCACTCATCACTAAAATATGCAAATGAGGTGAAGAAAAAGAGGAAGAGGACACGTACCACCTTGCCCGGACTCAGATTACTCCATCTCCAGTAGCGGTGGCGCGCGCGGTCGCTCAGCTTCGTCGCCGCATCGTCTGTGTGCACCACAGGGACGCCGCCAATTTCTCCACCTCCGCCTCCTCTCATTCCCATTCCTCGACCGTGCGTTTCTTGCGCGGGGCGGCACGCCGAGAACGGGGTACCTGAGCTCTCATCGTACCCGCCCTCGTCCACGCCCGGCGACGGCCCGCACGTATAGTTCGCGTGCGGGGGCGGGAGAGGGTACTCAGGCGGCGTGCCGTACATTTATATCCCTGCCCCGTACGGCGTGCGGCATCTCGTACGCGGTGGCGCGGTCGAGGGGTTCGTGCGCGGAGGGACGTGGGGCGCTCGTACGGGGAGGCGGTGCTTCGCGGGCGGGGCCGTTTGGGGTGGCGCCTGGGACGACAGACGCGTCTGTTGATGATACTGAGGATGCGATCTGGAGAGAGGGAAAAGAGATGATCAGTCGGCGCAGTGGGAGTATGTAACCAACAGATGATCAATCACTCATATCAGATCCCACAAAAGCCTGCTCCATCAGGCAGGAGAATACATCCCGAGTGGCGAGCTACGAAGGCTTTCAACTGCATTCTCCCCCTCAATAAATCCGCCTGACCGCAGTCTTGAGCCCTTGGCTCTGGCTCTGCCACAAAAACAAAAACGGCACGATTTCCCCATGCCTTCGGGAGGAATCGAACCCCCGCTTCCCCGCTTCATGCTTCGATTGTATCATTCGACAGAGACGGGGCGATCTCCATGTTCCACGAAGGCTTGCTGGCTCTGTTTCGTTCCTCGGTAAATCCACTTGAGGAGACACCTGAATCTGACCCTACTACCAAAAATTCTACCACACCGGATGTCTTCGGGAGTCCGCCTCCTCGCTTACATCTCGATACCTTTCTGGAGCAGAGAGTCGAAGGGGTCGCCACGATCTACGAAGGCGTCCTGTCACTTCTCGCCGAGTGTGCCTCAAGGAATACCTGGCTCCAACTCTAGAAACAGCAGCAATCGATTTCCCCATACCTTCGGCTGGGGCGGAATCGAACCTCCTCCACTCCGCTTCATGGCTCGTAGCCCGCCGGGTGATCACCATGATCCACGAATACTTTCTCAGGGCGTCTGCTGCCTGCGTAAAGCCCTCTGAACAAAGGCCGGATCCGACTCCAAAAAGAAAGAATGGAGCAATCGCCCAATGGGATTCGAACCTCCGCCTCCCCTCCTTACGCTGCTTTTTGAGCCCATTTTTACCGCCGGGGGATCCACGGAGGCTTGGTTCCCCGGCTTCACTCTGGGCTGCGTGCGCCTGAAAAGAGGCTTGGCTCCGACTCTCGAAAAAAAAATAGACGATGCGTTGGTTTATGCCCTCGGGAGGAATCGAACCTCCACCTCCCTGCTTCCAGCTCACGCAATGGTATACAGAGACGGGGTGATCACCATGATCTACGAAGGCTTGCTGAGTCCTGTGGGTTCCTTGCCAGGTGTGCATCGAAATAGTCGCAGGGTGCCTTTACTAAAAAATATTCGTGATACTATCGTATGATTAGGGGAGGAATCAAACCCCCAAGTGTCATAAGATGGTGTGTGAGTGCGACTGCAAAATAAATAAATAAATGTAAGACTGAAAGAAGAGTCATGTCTTCGCAGTGGGATGTCCGAGGAGCGGATAAGCATCGGAGCCGGCCGAGAATTTGGGTGGTATTCGAGCGAGTCCATTTTCTATAGTGATAAATTTCAGCGAGCATAGGGAGGTATAACTCGGGCGTGGTGTACATATCCGGGTGCCAGATGAAATAAGAGCAGCCGAACTTAAGTGCCCACCGAAAGTATCCCCCTCCGCACTCATGAGTTCCCGGGACTTAAGTTCCACCCAGCCTCCCCCCAGCATATAATATAGCTGTACCCGTGCCCCCCTCCCTCCCTCTGAACTTAAGTCCTCTGACAACTTGAGTCCCTCACGAGCTTCACTTGAGTTGCGCCCGAACTTAAGTTCCGTGCTTGTATGCACCACGCCTGTATGTCCTACCGCCTATACATATCTCCCTCACTCCGCCAACCACTTAAGTCTTGCCAGATCACTCAAGTCCACCACTTGAGTCCCATTGATCACTTAAGTCCTGCACGCGACTTAAGCCCCGGCATCCACTTGAGTCCTGTAATAGAATATAATTCAAACTTAAGTTTTGTCACTTATATCTTCCAAGTTCCAAGTTGATAAGCAATATGAACCATGCCACTGAACGGAGCCAAGGGAAGGGGGTATTCAAGGGCCTTATATATGTATGAGCAGCATGTCACTTGTGCCACACATTGTGTGTCAGTTTCCCACTTTGGGATACAATGGTGTTCATTGTGTGTTAAAGACCATCGTGTGGTCAATTGCCATTCTGAGAAGATGGACAATGGAGTGTTGATTCAAGTGGCTTGATTGTCTTTGTCCAGGTGGCATGGTGGCCGGGTTGGATATATATAAGGCCTTGAAAACTCCTCCTCCCAGATCGGTAAGTTTGTCATCCTAGTCTATATGTCAACGATGCTAATGACTATCAGTCACGTTGTCAATGAAGGCAAGACAGCAAAACGGTGTGCAATTGCTAGTTTCATTTGCTTGATATACAGAACTGAAGTTCAGTCTAGCAGTAAACGGAACTGAAGTTGTGGATACAGGAACTGAAGCTCAGCACGAACTTGAGTGTACTGGAGAACTTAAGACGGGCCGGACTTGAGTCGCAGGGGAAGTCTTAAGTTCGGTGGAACTTAAGTACCACATTATGTTTTTAATACTCTTATTTGGAATGGAGGTAGCATAGTACATATAGCAGAGTTAAAGGAACTTAAGTCCCGTGGGACTCATGAGTGCAGAGGGGGATACTTTCGGTCAGAACTTAAGTTAAGCTAATAAAGTATTTGGTGCCAGAGTAAGCAAAGGAATCCGGCGTGGTGTACTGTGCACGCTCCCGCTTTTGTGCAGCGTGCAACATTGAGGAAAGCAGCCCAAGTTCAACTCCTGGTGCCCGAACTTTGGTGTAAAGCGCAAACTCTGTTTTTACTGTCTTGCATTTCTCTTCGCCGACGAACGCCCCAATTTAGGCGGTAAAATGAGGAACGAAAGTGATGGATTAATCGGGTGTGGATGGTGCACGCTCCCTCTCTCTAACAATCTCCAACGTGTGATTACCTCCTCATCTATGTCTTTTTCAGCCCAGGTCGCAAGATGTAGGGAGTAAATTGAGGGAGAGATGGAGAGGGGAAGTCGGAAGTGGCGTACGGTGAGCAAGCCCTTCCCTTTAGACGTGGATGAGGGGTATGAGGGGTATTGGGAGCAAGCCGGTGCAGGTTCGACTACCGGTGTTCAACTCCATCACTTTTTGGCTCCCTTTTTGCTGGTATAGACACAGAAAACCGAGGGAAGCGAGGTAGACATCCGGTCTGGGGTGCGGCTCACACTCCACCCCCCTAGGGCTTGTCGCGATAAGATTAAAGGGGGGAGGCTAGGGTCAATCCCTGGTCCCCGAAATTGCTCCGGGTGTTTTTCCTTTCTGCAAAGCCACTTCGTTCAATTATTTCACCCTTCTCCCTCTTCAATTCTTTCCACCGGCGAGACCAAAAAAAGGGAGGCTCAGCCCAGCACTATGGCCCAGCCCCGAATCGAACGGGATCCCTCCGCTGAACTGTATGGACATCCTAACACCTCTGAACAATCTGCGGACGTGCTCCAAGCACCACCGAGCCTTTCTGCGTACCCTGGTACTTTCATCATATCCACAATTTTAGAGTTGCGGGGCTGATAAAAAATCTTCCGATCATACCTTAGTTTCTCCATTTGATGGCTCTACTATGGGAAGCAGAGCCTTTCTCTTCATCCCGGGGAGTTGGTCTTGCGCAAATTAAAGATGTGCACTGGCATGTCTGCGACTCCAAGTCTCGGACTTCGAAATCCCAAATGCAGATGTGTACCGAGTGCTATTGCGCCATGCTTCTCCGTCTGGTGCGGATCTGATCCTCAGTTTAATTCCGGGGCTCAAAAAAGACTGCATCACTACATAGTCACGGCACCGCTCAGGCCTGAATCGAACAGGCACTGCCGCACTATCTGCTCAGGTATCACAAAGGTACTGAGGTTCCTTGAGGGAAGGAATCGGGCATGGTGTATGGCGCACGCTCCCTCCTGTTACGGTTGGCAGAACTAGGAGTGCTGAAGGGAGAAGCCCAGGTTCGACTCCTGGTGCCCGACCTTCATAGCTATTGTCGATCTTTTTATTGCGAGCTCCTAAATGACGGGGATTTACTAGGCGCAGGGAGAGAGGTAGAAATCGGGCGTGGTGTACAGCGCACGCTCCCTCCATCTAACGTTTGAAATGTGGAACTTGAGGGGAGAAGTTTAGGTTCGACTCCTGGCGCCCGAATTCGCTTGTGGTTCTTGCTGTTTTCCCTCCCCGCCCGCCAGCTGCCTATGGTTGTCTACACTCGCATCGTCCTCGTCCGATGGATTTGAGCTCCACAGAGTGAGAAGGAAGGTAGAGCTTTCTCTCTCCGCTTACTTCGGTCTTTGTCCGGTAATATTGAAGTTTTTGCGGCGTCGAGCCGCGACTCTCGAAGACTTACATGCAAGCCAGGTGGGATGGAATCTACATGAGATATTTAGGTCAACAGAGGAAGCTGAAAATCGCGCGTGGATTGCGATGCACGCTCCCTCCCTTTGAATACTGTCCAACAGTGGTACTGAAGGGAGCAGCCCAGGTTCGAATCCTGGCGCGGGAATCCGGGAGCACCTGCCTCTCTTCTTTCCCCCCCCTTTTTCACGCACCGCCAGTGCTAGGTCTGTCTTGGAACTGCTCTTTCTCCTTCTTTTCTTTGACGGCTAAAGAATGGGGGTGGGGTATGCAAGGAAGGAAGTAAGGCATTCCGTGCAGAGATTCAAACTCTGGAAATTTCAACATGAAGCAAAGGACACAGCGGAGCTAGCAAGTGGGAAATGGAAGGAAGGAAGGAAGGAAGGAAAGAATGCATTGATGAAAATCATTGGGTATGAGCAGCATACCACATGCAAGAGGAAGGCTCGGTGCTGCTTGGAGCATGTCCGCACATAGTGTCCAGGCATAAAGTTACGGTACAGCGGAGTGATCCCGTTCGATTCGGGGCTGGGCCATTCTCCAGGTCTTGGGCTTTTTTTTTTAAAGCCTCGCTGTTCAGAAGCATCGAACAAGAGGTGTAAGGAACGGCTCGAGAGCGCGTGGTGCGCCTCTGCATCCCATTGGACTGCGCGCGAGAATAATTAATGCAGTGGAAGTTCAACTTCAACTTGTCCATAAAGTTGGTCAGCCCACGACCAAATGGATCGATCGAATAAGCCGGAGTTACCATAGGGTAGTCGCTCGGTAGCGCATGGTGCGCACCTGCCTCCCATTGGGTATTCTTTGACAAGACTAACGCAGAGGACGCCTGTTCGACTCAGGCCCGAGCCATACGGATCTTGGCTTGTTTTTTTGTCACTCTTGCCGCCCGAAAACATCGACCAAGAAGAGCGTAGCAGACAGCGAGGGAAGGCTCGGTTGTGCTTGTAGCACGTCCGCCGGTTATTATAATTTGCACATGCAGTTCAGCGGAGTGATCCCGTTCGACTCGGGGCTGAGCCATGCCAGAAACGTTCCACACATTTTTTTGCCGTGTTTTTTTTAACTTTCCCGGAGAAGATCTGAAGCTACCGTGAGTATCCAGTGGGATGCTCGCTGAGGAAGACTCGTAGGGCCCTGGTGCGCGTCTCATCCTGGATCCAGTATATAGCAGATTGACAACTCAGCTGTATGACTGGGCCCCTGGCTTTGTTTCGAGTTGGGCGGGATGAAGACGTCTCAGGGCACCCAGTGATCAGTGCGCCACAGTAAAATATCAACCACCAGAGCAGAGCATTATAATTTACCCACGAGGAAAGCATTACCCCAGAGCCAAAGTCAAAGCGAGCGTTCGAGCAAAACCCGTATAATTCTCCGCCAAAGAGAGACGCGGGGCGTGTTTTCGTCGTGGTTCGACTTTGCTCGAGCGGGAACAAGCCAAGGCACAAAACGCGTCTCGTGGGCGTGCGGCAAGCGGGTGTGTTAGTCTGTTAGTTGTACATCTTAGTAAGAACCTTGCGTTGGCGGGATCCTCAGATCGCTTCTCCGGTAGTATTTTTTTTCTGTACGCCCGATTGACTTACCCCCCACCAGGCCTGCAAACACGAGAGGCATCATTTCTATTGAAAGCGCGAACAAGTCTTTAGCGTGCCCACCTGAGATGCCCCGGCTCGGGGGACCCCCCGAGCGCAGCGAGGGAGGGGAGGGGCATCGAATGGTGGGTACTCTTCGCGCACAAACACGAAAGGCGTAGTTTTTTTTTTTTCTTGTGTGAATTTGGCCAGATCTTACAAGCATGTACTCCATTTTATGTATGATGGGAACTAGGTATATTCTCGTTCTTATGTCCAGAGTAAGTTATTAGGTGCCGAAAGTTGCCGCTGGCAAGATGCCGAAGCCTGCCGAGAAAAATTACTAGATCGGGATGCCACGTTGCGGCGGAAAGTGAACGGGTCTACGACGCCGCCCTCGCCTTCGTCAAGCGCAAGCGCGCCTGCGCGAAGCCGAATCCTGGCTTCGCCCGCGCGCTCATCGAGTGGGAGCACTCGTGGCGCCGCCCCGCCGTGCAGCGCCGCTTCACGTCGTGAGCGGTGATGTGGAGCTGCACGTCCATCAGGAAAAGCCGAAGTTACTGGATAGACATATATAGACTCACATAGTGGATATAGACAACCGGCCAACTCTATAGAGAGGTGGGAGCCCCTACTTGAAATCTATAGACACTCATAGACACTCATAGTCGGGGTGTTGTCTATGATACTTGCCATAGCCATATGGCATTTAGTGGTTTATAGTGCTCATAGTGCTCAATAGAGCCAAAAAGATTTGACAAAAAAAATCATATTGCAGCTAAATACAGTACAGGAAAGATATGGTATGCCTTCCTAATCTATCCTCCTGGTTCCAAATATCTCCGCTACCAAACCCACGCCACGGTGCAGCGGGTCTCTACAACCGTCCGTGATTCGAGGATAAATGCGATGGTGCCTGCATGTGCCAATTAGTAGATATAATTCAGTTGGAATTAGACGTACGTTTCGGCGCTTGAAATGGTCGTAAATGTAGACTCCGGAGCCGATACAAGGAACTGGGGACAATATTAGTCTGCGGCGTCGATAGGGCATGTACGACATTCACCAAGGTTATCCATCACCATCCTCACATCAATCCCTTAGCCCTATCTCACGATGAACCTGTTGGGCGTCAGTGCGAAGAGTATACCGTCGAGCTAATCTATACATACACGTAAAGTGCTTAGAAGAACTAGCGGGGTGCGCACCAGACGGCGCGAGGAGCGCAAACCTCTCAGGTATGTCGCGGCTGCCTGGGGAATGGAGGGAAAGACTATGAGTAGTATTGGGGATTCTGGATGTGACGAGTAGAACACCGGCGCCGGGAAGACTAGGGACGTCTTGGGCGAGTGAGGTTGACGTCACAGTGCGCACGACCAACGCCGAAGGAGAGCACGGGGTATACGCTGGGTCGATGGATTGTCATTGGATAGTTCCTGTTGTGACCAAATTGCGCGCCGCCGGTGTCTCTGGCGGTCCAATCGATTGCGACTTGGCCCGGGTGTTGAATGTTGACCTAGTCCGCATGTACGTTCTAGCTTCGATGATGTTGCTTGGGGTCGGACTTGCGGAGCAGAAGATGATGCTTGATAGAGCGGGTGCTGACAATTTAACTGAGCGACAGTAATGGGGTGGACGCGAGAGCGAGTTCTTCGATCCGGCGCTTTTGAGATGGAAATATGGGCAGATATGGCCCTTGAAGATGGCCGCAGCATGAGTTTGGATGCCCAGGGTGTTTGACTAACCTGAGAACGGCAACTCTACAATCGTCATTTGTTTCTCCGAGAGCCCGGCATGGGCTTCAGTGGTGGTTGGAAGCCCAGGATGCTCAGAGATACATATGATAGCTTGGATCCGAAGTGAAATCGAAGATTTGGATGCAGGGAGGACGTCTCGAAACGGGCGAAACATACACGGAAGGTGGAGTTCGAGCTCGAGCCTCGGTTGCGAGTCGTAACCATAGTAAGTTGCAAGCGTCCCTTGGGAGAGCGCAGACCTGTGGCCGAGCTTCAAGTATTGGTCCCTGAGCATATGGCTGAGGAGCTAGGAGAGGGAAGAGGGAAAAGGAAGAGGAGCGACCAACATGCACGTGATGAATATACACAAGAACAAACATTACGCACGGACCTTCCTCTTCTTTCTGAATCAGAACCTTCTGAGTCTTGTTTCCTCGCAGCGCGCGACGAAGTTGACTCCAGTTGAATCACAAACACTTCTCATCATTCTTGCCGTCTACTTACTTATTTCAGCAATTCTGGGTGCCTGCATCTTTTTCGGTCCAACTATTTTTGCTTTTACCCCAGAACTCCAGCGCGCTGCACAACCTGATAATCCTCGGCACCATCTCGGCGGTTTTCCATCTGAATCTTCCAGTTCGAGCCTACAATATGCCCCAGTATGCACATCTCGGAATGCAATATCAATGCAATGCAATCAACCGAACGCGTGCAGTGAAAAGAACGTATCACCAACAACCGTATCAGCAGGATTGGTGATGCTCCAGAGAGACCGGAACCTCTAATGTCCAGGCTGCCAGTGATTCAAAATTTCACACAACCCTCGGTTTACCGCCCGACGACGCAAGTCTCTATTTAGTGTGCTATCTGTGTCCTCGTTTGATTGACCCACCTGTGGGAGCAATGACTCTCGTCCGAGATACCCCATTGCTGGCCGGTTCCATCTTGACTGTGCTCTGCTTGACACACCGGGTGTGCTACAGCACAACCCCCAGAGTTTGTCGGGATATGCCTGGTTTTCATATGGCATCGTATTGATTTCCTCCTCCTTATTGATTGCGGATCTATGTGTACATATGCAGATATTCCGGTCCAATGGCAGGGCTTCCTCGATTTCTGTGACCAAAATAGATCCAGTTTAGGTTGGGTTAACCCAACTGTGTTTCAGCGAGCACTGGGCTAACCCAGGATTAATCTGGCAGTCTACAGTAACTGCAGTGAACAAGAGAAAGATCCCATAATTAAGCTTATTAATCTGTTTAACCCAAATCACCCAACGAGCGGTTTAATCCAGCGCTCAAGCCTATTAACCCCACTGAACCGGTTAACCCAGTCACGCGAGGAACATATATCACTTGGTGAATCAGCTGCAAGATGCAGAGAACAGTTTTGTCGTTTATTGAGGCTAGTTTAGCGTGGACTGATGATCACATCGTGGCACAAGATTGAAAGATTTCTATAGTGGATGCCGGCCGCAGGGAAAGATATATAGCTCTCCATAGACATTCATAGACACCAGAGAATGGGCGGGCAAGTTCATAGAGATTCATAGACATATATAGACCTATATAGACTGATATAGTGGGCCATCTGTCTATCATAGCATTTCGGTTTTTCCTGATGTCACAGGAGGAGGTGCATCTGCCGCTGTCCGGCCTGGGCCGGGGCCCGCAAATCCTATATAAGAAAAGAGCATGGCACCGCCACTAAATCACATGATAAGTCATGGGACCTCTCCGCCGTTCCCGCCCTGCTGCCGCTCCTCAAGGCCTCAAGCAAGGCAGATTCATTAATGATAAGGACACTTTGCCTCTGCCCCTCATATTACTCTCTACTCCCTCCCATTCCAGGTTTGTTACTCCTCTCAATTCCTGTCACCTCTTTGATGATTTCCATAGCTATACCCCTATCTGTCAACTACATTTCATTCAACTTCCCCCACCACTTTTCACTGTGCTTATGATCTTCTGTGTGTACCCACAATTGACTCTTCAGATTTAGCCCTACTAATTCCAAATCAGCTACAGCCTGGCTCTGAATGCAGGTACTTTCTATTTTCTTTGTATCAGTCTAACTTTTGCCACTCTGAAACAGATTTGTGGTACTGACTTCTGTTACAGGTAGTTAATATGGGATTATTTTTTGCTATTTAATAGTAGTCCGTAGGCGAAAGTTTCGGTGCAGAACGAAGTTGGAAGTCTGAAGTATGGATCACGGGTTGAGCTCGGGCCGAGTCTTGCGGAATGCCCAGATTAGAAATCTGGCCCCTATCCGAGCCTTCTTTATCCACAAAAAGGGCATCCAAGAGCACAGGATACTTCAAAGAAAATCCTCATGCGGATAGCAAGATATTATTGACCTTGGGAAGTCTTCTCAGCAACGGATGAAATAATTTGGGTCTCATGTGCTGAACACTCATGGCTTTCGGCCATGTTATCTCTTCTTTTTTATATATACCATTGGTTTGAGGTACTTGAGGTATTAGTATACATATACTATATTTGGGGCCTTATGCAACATCTCATAAGGTCCCTCCGGGCGAGCAGAGGTGCAAGGCAATATTTCAATGCGTGAGAATAATCCTGTCACTGTCTTGCCGAGAATGCTGAGATCAATCGGACTTCGACTTCAGACTTGGTACTTCAGGGAAAATATAGACAAAATTGATCCCATAAGTTTAGGTAGCTGTAGTAGTAGTTGATGGCCAACTATATAA